ATTAAAAGACTTCACCCACTTAATATACTTCACTTTTTCCTCTTTTTGTCAATGGAATACTTTTTTTCAAGAATAACTTCACCTTTCACCATGCATTAGTCTCTATAGCAAAGATACTTTTCGAGAATATAACTATTTAGCAAGATGAAAAAGAAACTAATCGAAAAAAAAAATTTAGCTTTTTTCATTATCTTCATTTCATTGATCCTTACAAGACGAGTTTGGATATGCTTTAAGAGTAAAATGAAAACATAACCAATTTAACACGCATTATGTGCACTTCAACAACCACTGTTAGCCTGGCCAAGTCCATGTGATGAACAAGATATCAAGTCCCATGGCTGTGGTCATGTCTTTTCATTTTCATCAAAAAAATCTGAGAAGAAGAAGAAAGAATATGATAATTTTAGGAATAAAATGAAAAATATAATGGTGAACACGTTTATGACAGAGAAAAGGAAAGAGAGTTAATATATTTTTACTCATTTCGTCAGTTGAAGCTCATCAATTGAATGAACAAAACAAGTGTTGATATGTTCATAAATATGAACAAGAAAATATTGATTTTGATTCAATTCAATGTTTCGCTTTCTTGGCTATTGTAAGCAAAATGCAATTCTGTCCATTCAAGAAATGGAGGAAACAGATTGCATGGATACATGTAGGTTTCATGGTTTCGATGTGTATCAGGGGGAAGAAAAGTGGAAGATGAAGAAGGAAGAAAAGAAAAGTGGAAAAGTGTAAACAGCAGCTACAGAGGAGATGAAAGATGATAAAAATCAAAGTGACAATTTTATCCTCTTTTTATTTACCACTTCTTTCTTCATCTTTCCCTGATTAACTTTGAGTTTTTCATCTTTACTTTCGCAGTTTCGCTGAATGAAAGTTGAATCTCGAAATTGAATGATTGCTTTCTATCCTTTGAACCATGGATTAATTGTTATTAGCTAAACAAAGTGTACAGAAAATCAGTGAATCTCTTTTTTTCGCAGTATCAATTTATCAAAGTTCTGAGAATGTTTTTTTTTACTCAATAGAATCGAGAAATTAAATGTAAAATCCCTTTAGATTGATCAACAAGAAAAGAGCGAATAATGATTCTTTGAAAGTCCCTGTGGTCTTGCTTCAACAACATTCAGTCAATTGACATGAGATGAACATGAGAATTGAATGTTACCTTTTCTCATTCTATTATTACAGTGTTTACCAAAGTACAAAATGAAAATCTAATTTAAATTTAAACTGAGAGGTGAGAGAAACGTTTGTTTGTATTATTAAATTTTGAAGGATTGTTTGCATTTTGATCACACTCTCTTAGCTGCTTTGTTGAAAATTAAATGATTACTTGAATTGATGAAAGTTAATCATGGTTGATGTGGTTTCAACTATGGGATTGGCAGAGTTTGTTCAATTGATAACAAAATGCTCTCTTTCAAAGTAGCAACATTTTCTTGTTAACAATTTGTCTAGTCTCTTGATGGACACGTATTCAGTAATCGATGAGTGTTAGGCAGGTTCTAGGTAAAAGGAGTCAGATAAATGATAACTTTTTTTCAAACAACTTGTTGACATTGCAAGAGGAATAATTCTGAATCGACTGATCACGTTTTCAATAAAACTTCAGTAACTAGTGAATCAACTCTTGTTTTACATTCATCATTCAATGGTTCTAACTTTATGATTCAATGTCTTTTTGCTTACAATAGAGTTTTTTTTCTCTTCTCGTGTTAAACTGATAAAGTAATAATAAAACAAGGGAAAAAAAGAGATGGGATAAACAGAGTAAATTGTTTCAAGTTTAGGACTGTATTCAGATAAAGTGAGATTCAACAAATGATTAGATTCATGATACACTAATTATAACATCAGGTAACATTATTAATAATTGGAATTGAACCAAAAAAGAAAAAGGATAAGCATGAGGCAAAAAAAATCAACAACTAAATCAGTTGAATGATCGGTAATTTCCGTTTTTTTGCTCATCATACGATTAACTTTGATGGCTCAACATTTGAATTTTGAAATGGTCAATGTTGTGAATCACATGAGAGACAATTGAAAAATAGAGTTGTATAAGAGAGGAAAATTGTATTTATAAGATTCAAGTTATTGTATCTAATCATGTAATGCTGATGAACAGTTATTCACTTTTTCTTTTTTCTCCAAGTCTTTCAGTTTTCCATCTGATATGATAATCTTTATCGTAAGGGAATATCGACCTAATGATGGGATTGCCTATTTTCAAGGGCGATAAGCTTTTCTCTGTAAAATTAGAACGGATTAACCTTTTTTGTCTTCAAGTTTATCTGTAAGTTTTCAAAGTTTGTAAAGAAAATGAAAAATGAAAACAAAAAGGATTTACTCGTGTAAAAAAAGAGGTAAAGTGAAAGATGTAACAGTGAGTTGATAGTATTCATATCTGAAGTACATGATAATCATTGTATAATATCAGTTATCGATTAATGAAGGTTATTAGTGCCACTAGGAAAATTGAGAGGGGATTTCTCACTCAGTTTCAGAGAGGGAAAAGTGACAATTATCTTGGTATTATTATGATGGCACTTACTCTTGATTGTAAATATTATTGGCTGAAAGATAATAAATTTGCTCAGGTTCAAGGTGAGTCGTATTTAGAGTTCAATTCAATTTGTTGCCATTTCACTTTTTACTCGATTTTTCCTCGCCAATTTGTTCATTAAAAGTGAAATAAAATGATTTTCAAATGAAGTCTTTTTTGTCCACTCCTCTGTTTATCACGTATTAGATAGTGATAGTTGATTCATCAACAACGTAGATACAATGTGACAGGATGTTGATTGCTGTCTGAAAGAGTTGGAAAAGTAAGAATTGTGATTAAATGAAGAGAAGAAAAAAGAATGACAAAGATTTAAGGAAATGAATGAATATTAGACATTTGACCAGCAATAACTGGTACCAGTGTGACCTGTCAAATGTCAATGTAATATTTTGTAAACTTGTGACCTTCCAACAGTGCCCATTAGATTGTAACACATATTTCAAAAGGAAAGACAAGGTTTACTAATTAGCCTTACATGTAAAGGTTCAATAAAGCTTAGAGGTCAATGTAACATGAGGATTAAAAACTGGCCAAGAAAGATCATAACAGGAGGGTTGATACAACTGTTCATCCCCTGAATCCGCCTCTTACTCCATTAATCTGTTTCACCAGCGAATTACTTTTTTTTCCTGGTTTTTCTCAATCTTACAAGCCGGACAGAAAACGTAATTTTGTATTTTCATTTGGCCCATTCCATTTGCCCTTTGACTGAGGGATGATGAAAAGGCACAAAGGGTGCTAAAAGGAAAGGGCAAAGAGGAGAAAATAATTTTGATTGATTGGTTAAATAATGTAAATTCCAGGGTCAATGGAGCGATGGAAGTGGCTTGTGATAACTTTTCCTAGTCAAACGAAAGCAAGAGCAAAATATTAGGAGGAAGTAACAATGTTGTAAAAAAAGGATGAAGAGTAGGAGGAAGATGAAATATAAAAAAAAAGATGAAAGGATGAGGAAAAACATTGTAACTGACTAAAGTGTTGCAAGAAAATGTCTTAAGACGCTAGGTTGGGGCGGTGATTTTGTGGTTGCCTCGGGTCAAAGGTAACAAAGTTTCATCCTCAGTTCCATCTTTTACCAGTACCATTAATTTTGTGAGTTTTTTTTCATCATCATCTTACTTTAATTAAGACGTGTGCGTTTGAACAAATCCAGCCAAAAGAGTGCAAGAGTTTGAAAAAAATAACTTTTTTCGCGAAATTTGAGCTGCTAATCTCCCTTCATCGTTTGTGCTGCAAGAATGAGGCCAAAATATGGACATCTGAAGATGAAATTGATAGAGAACAAAGGGAAAAACGGAAAAGAAATGGAGGAGGAAGACATATTGAGGAGGAAAACACACACAGACGGAGAGAGAAGGAGGTAGAAAAGTTTAAGAAAACCGTTATTGAGTAATAAGTCTACACTTTTTTTTTACTTTAAAAATGCAACATCTTGCTTTGAACAAAAAAGGTCTTGCTATAAGTGAGTTAGTAAGTTACAATGAGCAAAAGGCACTGGCTTGACTTTGATTGGCACGAGCAAATAGCACGTACAAAGTCGCGTGTAACATGTTTTCAACTAACAGTAAGGAGAGAGAGAGAGATGAGGGCGAGATGCTAATGTAGTCAATGTGTGCTGTAGTGGGTTTCAACGGGGAACAGGAAAGATGAGGCTAAGGACATTGGCCTGACCTGATCTGGGTCAATAGGGTCTTTCACCGTGATCTTTCTTTTTATCTTTTTTTTCTTCCTATTCTAAGAGTTGAAAGAGACAAAGACATTAAAAAAAAGAGGAAGAGAAGCTATTTAAGGAGAAACACTTTTAGAAGACTAAATATAAACCTTTTCCTTATGGACTGCACCAATGTGAATAACAGGGACCAAAGGACGATCTGTTGGGTCGATCGTGATGAAAAAATGTGAATGTTTCTCAAAGTAGAATGAATATAAAATCGTAAATTTGACCTTTTCTCTTTACCATCATTTGGCCTTATTGTTTCCTCAAGACATCTTCAGATGTACCAATAGTTATTGACCTTTAACAATGACAGGTCCTTTTTGTTGCCTTGTTGCCTTGTTTGCTCCATTTAATCATTAATTTATATCAACAAATTTTAATCGATCCCAAGTTAAAATGAAACTTTTTTTAGTTTCAAACCAAAGTCATTGAAATGATAATAATTGAATGGAAGATTTGTGATTATTTATTGGGTGAGGATGGGTTTGCGTCTGAATATGTTCAACAATCATAACCATCACGTAATCGTCAGAATAATCTCAATGTCACTTTCCCTCTCTTCACTATGATTTAACACATAATAAAGATAGATTTATGGTTATCAATGTGATCATCCCTATTCAACAGAATTTATGATTAAACTTTGATCAATGATAATTGTCAGAAAAAAACAAATGAACATGGCAACAGAATGGAAGCGAGAATAAGAAATTAAAAATGCTGCCAATTTACGTAGTTGTTTGATCTGAGTTTGATTCAGAATAGGCAAGAAAACTTTCTAACCTTGACTGTGCTTATCAAATTGTAAGAAGCGATGACGACGATACAAAAAAAAATCATAATCATCACTCTCACTAATTAATCTGGTAAATACAAAAATCCTTACCATAGCTATTCTGGTTGATACCCAATCTCACAAATCGTCAATGGTAACGGTTTATGATTATTGACATCCAACGTAAGCCTTTGTGTACATTCCTAGACATCAACAACTAAACAGCAAATTAACATAAATGGTTAAACAAATTGAAACGAGATCAAAGTTAAAATCAATGAAACAAGTAAACATGATTTTCGTCATTTTTCAGGCCTTACTTCATTCCTTGCCCTTAACTGCTTCAGCTAGTGTTGATATGAAACTCAATTTGACTAAACTTTCTTATGAACCTTGCTGCTTAAAGTTCAGCCATTCAAATGATCGACCGATACCGATATCAGAGTAAGTATCGATTAATGTTGTTTCAAATTGTATCGATACACATCGTCGATATGATAATGTTGAAACACTTTTCATTAGCAAAGAGTAAAGTAACCTAGTTGAGTAAACTTGTCCTACCCTTTGGTCATTAGGCATTTTTTTTGAAAAACAAGAGACCGTTATGTCTTTTAACAAATAAAATGTCGGAAAATAACTGACCAATAGATGAAACCTAGAGAAAGGTGATTCTCTTCGTAGTCTCATTCTCTCTCTCTCTCTTCATCCCTTTTCTCCTCCTTCCTTTCATTCTCTTCTTTTACTCACCTTCTCATCTTCATCACCATCGCCATCATCATCTTTGAGACGGGGGTGAAAAGAGAGAAGAGAAAGAGTCTCGATCATCTTTTTTTTTCTTATTCTTCATCATCTTAGCTCCTTTCGTTTTTTTTCTTCATCTTCTTCTCCTTATTTCTATTCTCTCACTAGCTTTTTCTCTGTTGCTTTTCTCTTCTTCTTCCATCATCATTCTCCCTTCATCTTCAACATCTTCTTCTTCTTCTACTTTCCTCGTTCCTTCACAGTTTTCTTAAAACCTTGACAATGAAAGGACCAAACGGTGAAGGTCTTAACCTACGATCTGATACAATTTACCAAATAAACTCAACATCTATAACAGACCTTCTCGATGATCATCAACAAGCCAAGGTATATAACCTGACCAAAATTGATAATTAAACTTTACTTACGTCTGTTAGATTAGTAGTTTAAATTGATTTTGTTTCTGCTTTCACTTGGATTCCTTGATCGTCCAATGCAATTGCAAACAAAATTGATTTCTCTCGATTCCAGTGATATTAATAATTATGTGAAATTGTGATGTTTCCGTGTTAAAAGCATATTTTGAGCAATGTCCATTTTCCAATCAAAGTGTCTAACAGTGTTTTTTTTCTTTTCCTTCTCTTTATATTGTGCCCTTCCAACGAATGTCCAGCTTCGTAGAATGGAAGATGGAGCTTGGGATTTAAATTCAATCAGCGAAGAAGAGTTCGATACTTTAGCTGTTTACGTAGTGCCGGATCTACCATGCGATGAAGAAACAACTGAAGTAAACCGTGCTAAGACTTCCCTGCCCAGGAATTTAGTATTAAAACCATCCAAAGCCTGCAACGATGTAAGTAAAAACTTTGTTTTTTGTAATATATCTTGTGGTCAGCGAATGTCCATTAGTTGCAACTCAAGTTTCAGCAGCTCTGCAAAGAGTGACTTTAATGTGTCACATTTTTGGACAGTTTCACGTTTTTTTAAATTTATTTTGATATTATTTTTCATCGTCCATGTCGATATTATTGTTGAGAAAAATGTTGGTAATCAGATTTGACCAGTTTCAATTATCGCAGAAGATTCTGAAAGGGAAAAAAGAGAAAATTGCAATTGATTAGATTATAAGCTATTGAGACAATGAAAGGAAATGTTTCATTAAAGAAATTAAGTTTCGATTTAGTTGATAAGATGTTTTCAAAATGAACACAAGATGGCAATGTTTAACATTAAACAGTGATTCATATTTTCAACTTACAACTTGATGATTGATGTTATTGAGGTTAATTTACAGTTATTAAACAATTATCCAAATTGTTTATTTGTTTTTTGCCTTAGTAAATTAAAACAGTTTCTTGGACAAGAAATGTGTGTTTATTTCAAAATCAGACAAAATACGCTCTTCACAGTGTAATCTTGCTAGTTAGTAAGCTAAACTAGATTTTTTTAGCAACTCAATGCTGTTGACAAAACGGTTAATAATTTCTTGCTTCTCTTTTCCATTCTCCAGGTTCTCAGCGTTTGGGCCACAGATTACATACCAAGAGGCACACGTTTTGGACCCTTGGTTGGTGAAGTCTACAAACGAGATGAGGTACCAGAAGACGCCAATAGGCAATACTTTTGGCGAGTCTATCGAGATAAAAATGAATACGATTACATCGATGGATACAATGTTTCCAAAGCAAATTGGATGCGTTACGTTAATCCAGCATTTTCATCGGAAAGTCAAAACTTGGTTGCATGTCAAATCTCAAATGGAATCTATTTCTACACAATTAAACCCATCATGCCCAATCAGGAATTACTTGTCTGGTATTGCCGAGAATTCGCCCAAAGATTAAATTTACCATCCTCAGGGGAACTTTTAACGTGTCAAAAACTTAACAGTAAGCATTGTTTTTTGAGTTGCATTCATATTTCAATTTTTGGATACAAAGTTGTCCATTTTTCAATCTTTAAACATTTCATATTTAATATTAAAACTGAATCTTTTTATTTGCACAGATAAACAAGAGTATTATGGCGGTAACAATGCTGTCGATGGAAGCACACGAAGTGATGAAGGATATCACAGTAATGGTTGTCCAGACGATGCCTCCACCCCGCCAGAAGATAGTAGTGACAGTGACAGTGATAATAATTATGTCTTGGATTTCTCTGTTAAAAGTAAAAGAGCTGATAAGGATCGCAATAAAATAACTAAGGTAAGCTTTCGTTATCGTCAAAACAGTTATTTCTATTAGGTTCTAATTTTTTTCCTTTTCTTTCTTTTCTCTTCATTATAGTTGGAAATTAATAATAAGCAATTGAATGATAAAAATGAATTTCATCGTTTTAAAATTAAGATGCCTAGAGTTTATAACTGTCTTGATTCATCAATCAGAGAGCCTGTTCATGTTAACGTATCTCAACCTGGTCATAATCTTTATCCTGGTTACAAGAAAAATAATTTACAATTAGCTTGCAATTTAAATCTTCAGTTGCATTCTCCGGACTCAACCGAGAAGACAGATACTTTCTCATCTACATCTTCAGTAGCTTCATCTTCATCCAAGTCATTTTCACCAACATCATCATCACCAGCATTATTGTCATCGTTATTAACGTTATCTTCAACCACATCACTCTCATCTCCATCATTAACAACGTCTTCCACTTCACCCTCAGCCCCAAAAGACCGCCAAGTTAACAACGATTTTGTCACATCAAATGGATCTCCTGGTTTTCCGCTATATTTCAATAATAATATTGATATTAATGGTGTAAAGTTAGCCACCCTCTCCCCAACAGAATTAAATCACCTCAACAATAACAATAATAACAGTAATAATCACCACCATCACAGTTCCAACTCTTACCTTTCCCACCTTTCCCATCTTCCTCATTTACCTCACCTTCCACTCCTTCCCCACCCTCCTCACCATGAAAGTTCCTCACCCACCTCCAGTATAGCCACCAATGATGGCGCCTCTGCCGGACAATTGTCTCCAAACTCAGCCCATGGTCGAGGTTATCGGTCACTTCCATACCCATTGAAAAAGAAAGATGGTAAAATGCATTATGAATGTAACATTTGTATGAAAACATTTGGTCAATTATCTAATCTTAAAGTTCACCTCCGAACACATTCCGGTGAAAGGCCGTTCAAGTGTAATGTTTGTACCAAATCATTTACACAACTGGCCCATCTTCAAAAGCACCACCTTGTTCACACTGGGGAAAAGCCTCATCAATGTGATGTATGTAAAAAACGATTCTCATCAACAAGCAACCTTAAAACCCACCTTCGTCTTCATAATGGACAAAAACCTTATGCGTGTGATCTCTGTCCAGCCAAGTTTACTCAATTTGTCCACCTTAAACTCCACAAAAGATCACATACGAACGAGCGACCTTATACTTGCTCAGCATGTAATAAGAAGTACATCTCAGCATCAGCATTAAGAAGCCATTGGAAGAATACCTCATGTCAACCCAACGAAATTGACGATCCATACATTGATATTGAAAATTCAAATTCATCCTCATCATCACCGATAAATGCTCACATCTCAGATAGTATTGCTCTTTTTGAAAGTCATTTTCACATCTAATTGGGGAAAATCATTGTCATCAAAAACATCATCAAAACCACCGTCATCATCAAAATTCTTTTATCTTGCACCTGAAACATCATCCACTCTTAACTTGATGTTTTCTTCCGCTTTATTTATCAATAAAAAACTCTATAATCTCCATGAGCCCAACTGAAATCTCATTAAACAAATTTCGGCCTTATTTGTAATTTCGGTATAACGGAGAAAATTGATTACAAATTAAAATTTAATAAGCTAACTATATAAAGATATTACTTTTTTACAATTTGGAGTCATTTTTTTTCTTGATTTTTTTATTTTGATAGTCGAATAATATTTAATAATATAATATAATTTCGCTTTTTAGCTGAATAAAGAAAAAAATGAATAATTAGATAAGTTATTGAATGAATGACTAAATTAATGAATGAATTAATTGAAATAAAATAAAATGACTTTTAACGATCATTTTACATATTTTGTTTTTACTTAAACTTTTACTTTATTTGCTAAGTTTTGTTACTAAATATTGTTTATAAATAATCCTTTTTCGTCCTAAATGGTACTGAGAACTACCGAAGGAACTGCGACAAGAGAACTTCCTTAGTTGGTATGACGAAATGTAACTTGAACACAAATAATTTCACAAGTTTAAGAGTTGGACATAGAGTTCAGCTATTTCTATTATTCGCATGGCAATCTCTTTCTTATCATGTTCATCTTGGTTAGAAATACTCTTGAAAGATTAATCAGAACAATAGTTATGAATGTAATTCACAAATCCATCATTAATGCACAGTAGCGCCAAAAGAAGAGACCATCAAATACTTTCCATTAATCTTCTCAATCAATACTCGTTGAATATAACATTGGTCAAAGTGTTGAAATTCGGAACGAAATATTTATAACAAAACCGAAACATCGTTTATAGGAATCTTATGTTTGACAAATTTTCCGATATCATCGATTCATTCTTTCAAATAATAATCAAGATTGTATAGCTGCTCATTAAATTTTGGTTCATATTCATAGAAACTCGAAACTTTAGGAATGATGATCGGAATCAATCACCGAATTTAGCCAAACTTACTCATCTCTTCTTGTATCAACGTTTTTAGCCGCTGATTTGGCCAGATCAAGGAAAAAAGTCATGTACCATCCTGGTCTGCCATAAAATTGCCATTTAATATCCACAACACCTTCATCGAAATTTTTGACAATATCTATCGGGTTAACTTGAAGAGTAGAGAGTAAAGTAATCTAGTTATCCTACCCTTTGGTCATTAGGCACTTTTTGAGTCCGTTATTTTTTAGCAAATAAAATGTCGAAAAATAACTGACCAATAGATGAAAACTAGAGAAAGGTGATCACTTGGTTTTTCATTCTCTCTCTCTCACTCTATCATCTCTCTCTTCCTCTTTTCATCCCGTCTCGATCATCTTAACTCCTTTCGTTTTTTCTTCATCTTCATCTTCTTCTCCTTATTTCTATTCTCTCACTAGCTTTTTCTCTGTTGCTTTTCTCTTCTTCTTCCATCATCATTCTCCCTTCATCTTCAACATCTTCTTCTTCTTCTACTTTCCTCATTCCTTCACAGTTTCCCTAAAACCTTGACAATGAAAGGACCAAACGGTGAAGGTCTTAACCTACGATTCGATACAATTTACCGAATAAACTCAACATCTATAACAGACCTTCTCGATGATCATCAAAAAGCCAAGGTATATAAACTTGACAAAATTGTTAATCAAACCTTACTTAAGTTTGTTAGACTAGTAATCTAAATTGATTTTGTTTCTGTTTTCACTTGTATTCCGTAATCGTCCAATGCAAATTGCAAACAAAATTGAGCTCTCTCGATTCCAGTGATATTAATAATCAAATTATTGTTCTTATTATTATTAGTATTATGGCGGTAAGAATTCTGTTGATGGAAACACACGGATTGATGAAGGACTGATTGGTTGTCCAGACGATGCCTCCACCCCGCCAGAAGATAGTAGTGACAGTGACAGTGATAATAATTATGTCTTGGATTTCTCTATTAAAAGTAAAATAGCTGAAAAGGATCGCAATAAAATAACTAAGGTAAGCTTTTTTTATTGTCAAAAAAGTTTTTTCTATTAGGTTCTAATTTTTTTTCCTTGTTTTTCCTATTCTCTTCATTTTAGTTGGAAATTAATAATAAGCAATTGAATGATAAAAATGAATTTCATCGTTTCAAAATTAAGATGCATAAAGTTCATAACTGTCTTGATTCATCAATCAGAGAGCCAGTTCATGTTAACGTATCTCAACCTGGTCATAATCTTTATCCTGGTTACCAGAAAAATAATTTACAATTAGCTTGCAATTTAAATCTTCAGTTACATTCGCCGGACTCAACCGAGAAAACAAATACTTTCTCATCTACATCCAAGTCATTTTCACCAATATCAACATCACCAGCATTATCATCATTATTAACGTTATCTACAACATCACTCTCATCCACTTCATCTACAACCCCAAAAGACCGCCAAGTTAACAACGATTTTGTCACATCCAATGGATCTCCTGGTTTTCCGCTATATTTCAATAATAATATTGATATAAATGGTGTAAAGTTAGCCAGCTTTTCCCCAACAGAATTAAATCACCTCAACAACAACAATAATGATCATCACGGTCAACTGTCTCCAAACTCCCATGGTCGAGGTTATCGGTCACTTCCATACCCATTGAAAAAGAAAGATGGTAGAATGCATTATGAATGCAACATTTGTATGAAAACTTTTGGTCAATTATCTAATCTTAAAGTTCACCTCCGATCACATTCCGGTGAAAGGCCGTACAATTGTAATTTTTGTACCAAATCATTTACACAACTGGCCCATCTTCAAAAGCACCACCTTGTTCACACTGGGGAAAAGCCTCATCAATGTGATGTATGTAAAAAACGATTCTCATCGACAAGCAACCTTAAAACCCACCTTCGTCTTCATAATGGACAAAAACCTTATGCGTGTGATCTCTGTCCAGCCAAGTTTACTCAATTTGTCCACCTTAAACTCCACAAAAGATCACATACAAACGAGCGACCTTATACTTGCTCAGCATGTAATAAGAAATACATCTCAGCATCAGCATTAAGAAGCCATTGGAAGAATACCTCCTGTCAACCCAACGATATTGACGATCCATTCATTGATATTGAAAATTCAAATTCATCCTCATCATCACCGATAAATGCTCACATCTCAGATAGTATTGCTCTTTTTGGAAGTGATTTTCATATCTAATGCTGAAAATCATTGTCGTCAAACATCAAATTTCGGCCTTATTTGTAATTTCGGTATAACGGAGAAAATTGATTACAAACCAAAATTTAATAAGCTAACAACTAAATAAAGATATTATTTTTTCACAATTTGGGAGTCATTTTTTTCTTGATTTTTTGATTTTGCTAGTCGAATAATATTGCGATAATTCCCGCTTTTTAGCTGCATAAAGAAAAATAAAATGAATAATTAGGTAAGTTATGACTTTTAACGATCATTTTACATGTTTTTACTTACCAGTTTCAAATCTTGTTTATAAATAAGCCCTTTTTCGTCTAAGTGGAAGCGCGTTAAACCTTCAAATGCATCCCATCTGAAAATTCAATCAAAAAAGACAAGAGGAATTCATGATTAGTTGAGAAGATTATCAATTATTATTTGATCTTAAAAATGCTTTTTTAAATTGAATGAAGCTATATTACAACTCAAAACCATCTATTATATTTTCAAATAAAAAGGTTGTGATATGACAAATGATTATAGCAAGTTTGCATGATTTTCAATATTGTTTGCAGTTTCGCTTTCGATGATTTACGTGAAACCTCGAAAGATCTAGATTAGGCTATTCTTTAAATGGCACTGCGAACTAGCGAAGGAACTGCGATAAGAGAATTTTCTTCGCTGATATCTCAAAATGTAACTTGAGCACAAATAATTTCACAAGTTTAAGAGTTGGACATAGAGTTCAACTATTTCTATTCTTTCCATGGCAATCTCTTTCTTATCAGGTTCAGCTTAGTTAGAAATATTCTCAAAAGAGTAATCAGAAGAATAGTTATGAATGTAATTCACAAATCCATTATTAATGCACAGTACCGCCAAAAGAAGAATAAATAATCAAGATTGTATAGCTGCTCATTAAATTTTGGTCCATATTCATAAAACTCGCTATTCCTTTAGGAATAATGATCGGAATCAATCACCGAATTTAGCCAAACTTACTCATCTCTTCTTGTATCAACGTTTTTAGCCGCTGATTTGGCCAGATCAAGGAAAAAAGTCATGTACCATCCTGGTCTGCCATAAAATTGCCATTTAATATCCACAACACCTTCATCGAGATTTTTGACTACATCTATCGGGTTAACTTGAAATCCATTGTACGTCCAATTAATGTACATCATGTACTTAAAGCAATGAAAATGATAGTTCACTAATCCTTTAATATTTTTGTTTAATATTTCATCATTAAGTTCAATATCAGGTGAAAAGAATCGCGGAGAGGGTGCAAAGTGTTTGAAGTCGGCAACCTAAACAAAAACAAGTGTAATTATTATACAATAAGAATAAAATAGCTAATATGATTGGGTAAATTAAGGATGAATCAATAATTTTACAATCTACATTAAAAGTGAATAAAGACAAAGAAAAAACTCACCATATTTTCCAATTTCTTGGAAACATCATCCATTGTTTGTTCAGATACTTTGACAAGTACTTGTGTTGACATTAACCTCGTTGAGCGTGGAAGCAATTTAATCAGAGGTTGACTAGAGATTCGGCGAAATAAAGATGCCATTCTGAAAATGAAATTATTAAATATGAGCAATCAGTATTTCACAAACAGATTAATAAAAAGAGTAAACACAGAACAAGTAAAACAACAACAGAAACACATGATGTTCCAGTTTCCTTGGAGATGAAAATAGGAAATTAATTTAAATGTGAAAGAAATGACAGTTCTAACTAGAGTCTAATTAGATATCTGTTTTGCATGTTAATTCTTGATGAATGACTTTTTAATTAAAATAAATAAATAATCTCAAACCAGATCACATTCTGTTCAATATATGAAACTCAATAACAATCAGTTAGGTGAAAAGACTGTGTAAGCTGAATATCAATAGTAACAATTAAGCAATTGATTAGATCTTTTGAATTTTATCTTACCTTAAACACAAAATAATAATTAGTAGATGAACTTTTTAATTTAATAACATGATCAATCCAACAGAAAGTAATGTTTTCATACAGATCGCAATACACTAAATCTCCCTTGCATGGAGCATTTGTGGTGACATCTATACTGGATGCCATTTTCTCTGATGTTTTTTGTTTAATTTTGTAACTGCAAGTGAATTAATGTAAAAAGTGAAAATCTTTAATCCAATGTTGATTAATTTAACTATATTATTTAATTGTCATTTACAATTAATCTGCTCTTGACCTTGTAAAATAGCTGTAAATCTGGTTAAAGCGTTTTTCTCTTGGATGATCCCAATCATGGCGGCATCATCGGCAGCCGAGGCAACAATAAATTGCTGCTCAGATTTGTCTCAACAGGAGGACATTGTAATCAACAAAAACGACAATAATACTGACAGCAATCCGGAGGAAAGCGATAAAGATAATTGTAATATTACCAATAATGATACAGAGACCAGCAATGATAGTTTGGTTACTAATAGTAATTCAATACCTTCAGCCAGTCAAACCCCTACTTCACCTACCAACAGTAACAACATTGATGGTGGAAGCAATGTTAATAACCCGGACGGTTCTACTCCCAAAACACCCGATTCTGATTGTTTCACACAGCCACTTCCACCATCTCACCTTCCAAATCTTCGTTCATCATCTAATCATAGTTCAACCTCGAGTACCCGAACATTAGATGCCGAGGGCCAATTAAATCTAAAACCTGAGAAAGTGAAATCACGTTGGAGGAGAAACAGCGAACTGGAATCTGGTCATGGAACGGACCACCATGGCTATGCCAACCATTCTTCCCAATCACCATCCAGCTCATCGTCAAGTTCATCAAACAATATTGCACATGAAACAACAAAGAATTCACCCTTAGCACCTTTAAATACTAATATACCTAAAGAAACAGAACCAGTTCCACACTATGACCATATTGATGAAAACATTTACCTTTTTGAAAGAAAAAAATCCAAATGTAAAAAGGAAATGCGTCGTATGGTTTGTAATTGTATTTTAACTAAAGAAGAGAGACAGCGAGGCGTTCTTGGTTGTCTTGATGATTGTCTTAATCGGATGCTTATGATTGAATGTGGCAATCGATGCTTATTAGGCGATCATTGTGCCAATAAGCGCTTCCAGAAGAAACAATTTGCCAAAGTTGAACCTTTTAGAACAGTGAAAAAAGGATGGGGACTCAGAGCTATGCAAGTTATTCAACCTGGCCAGTTCATAGTTGAATATGTTGGCGAGGTTTTGGACCCCAAGGAGTTTAAAAATCGGGTCAAAAAGTATTCCAAGGAAAATAAAGAGCATCACTATTTCATGGCATTAAAAAGCGATGAAATTATCGATGCAACAATCAAAGGAAATCTCACTCGATTCATTAATCATAGCTGTGATCCTAATGGTGAAACTCAAAAGTGGACTGTAAATGGAGAGTTAAGGATAGGATTTTTTGCTACAAAGCTTATCGAAGCGGGAGAAGAAATCACTTTTGATTATCAATTTCAAAGATACGGAAAGAAAGCACAAAAGTGTTATTGTGAAGCACCCTGTTGCAGGGGATTTATTGGTTCTACTAATGATACTGATATAAATATTGACGGATCTCTTATTACACCAAAACAAAGATCTCAGGAAAAGACTGGAGAAGAAGAAAAGAGTCTAGAGGAAGAATTTGAAGATCTTGGTTTGGACGAAGAAATAGCTAAGCTGACTGCCAGTGGTGGTATCCGAAATCGACAACAAACCCTAATGCTCGCTAGACTAATGGTTCGAGCTGAAGATACGCCCAATAGAACCAAGCTATTAGAAGTTCTCAAAGGCACTCTTGAAATTGCTTATCTAAGACTATTCTTAGATTATCATGGGCTGCAATTGTTATGGAGTTGGATGGCTGATCTTGAAGATGTTTATCTCAAAGGTGAAATACTGGAAGTTTTGGCCATTCTCCCGATCCCCAATAAGACTGTTCTTAAGGATAGTAAAGTATTAGATGTAGTTGAACGATGGTCCAAGCAAGCAGCAAGTGAGGCAAGTCAACGTAAGAATGGTGTTTCATCTGTCAATGCGCAACTGCCACTCATTGTGGAGCCATCAACAATATCATCTTCATCTTTGCCTTCAACTGTTATTGTTAAGACAGAAGATAAGCGAGATGAGCAGTCAGTGAAAGTAAAAGAGCAACAGCAACAGAATGAAGATCAGCAACCTAAGAAACTGGAGGCTTCTGACGAAGTTAAAAAAGAAGATAAAGATGCCCCAACTGAGTCAATAGAGAAACCCGTCAAAAAGGAAATAAATAGTCAATCTAAAGAGGAAATAGTGAATCAAAATGAAACTGTAGACACGAAAGTCGATAGCAATACTGAAATTGTACCAATTGTAGCAGAACCTGTGGAGGAAGTTAAAGACACGCCAGTAGTCGATGTGCAAGTTGAGATTGAGCTTGGTTGCGAAGTTGAAATCAAACAAGATATCAATGGCGTTGATACCGAGATTCCATCTAGTGAAAACCAATCTGCATCTAGTACTCCAGGAGATTCTACGCCTGGTAAACCTGAACCAGTGAGGGTGAGAGAGACGAGATCCTCTTCAACCTCATCATCAACCTCAACTACCGATGCGTCCTCAACAACATCCAACCTTCCAGTGGTAGCTGAGAGGATTATTGGTAGGCGAGTATCCTTAAAGTCAAGAAATGAATCCAAGGATGAGGGTAGTAAGGAGAACAAGGTAACTAAAGAGATAGTTAAACCAGTTCCTGATATCGTAATGTTGACTTCAAAGTTACTTTATCTTTGGAAAGATTTGAAAGAAGTTTTCAGAATACCCAGGCTTGAGAGACAGAAACGTCTTGAAGATGAAAAGGAAGCTGATCGTAAAGCAATTGAGGAACAAGAAAGAAAAGCAAAAGGTCTTCCAGTTGTTTACGATCCTAAAATTAAACGAGGTATTGACAATCGTGACAATACGATTGCTGGTATACTCGGATTGCAGGGTCTGCGTAAAAAATCAGCTAAAAGGCCGGCAGATGATAAAAAACAAGTACAAAATAATTTAAACTCTTCGTCGCCAGCTTCAAACGCAACCGGTAACACTGTCAATTCTGAAAATAATTCAGGGCCAACTCCTCCAAAAGTTAACAAAGAAGTCTATCGAATGCAGTTTGAAATGGAACTGATGAGAAAACAATATTCTCAAGCACTTGACAAATACAACGAACAGATTAAACAGTATGAACAAATGCTTCATCAACAACATATGGCCGGACAACCACCAGGTCTGCATCCTTCAGCACCGCAACCACCCAACTTCGACTCAAATCATTTGCCCTCTAGTTCACTATCGCACCATAGTCCGTTTAAATCTGGAATATTATTCAACTCTCCTAATTTGTTGAGTTTACCGCCACCTGTACCTCCTACTCTAGGAATGTTCTCAGATCCATCTAATCCATTTTCTGGTTACGGAGTTAATAGTGAATATTCAAGTAATAGTGGTTTAGCTACGCCTGTGACTCCAGTTGCCCCATTGACACCTCTAACTCCATCAAATGACTATCACCAAGCACAACCATATAATCTTGAGTCTCATCATCCTAATCACATTAACACCTCAACAACTACCTCTCAACATTTTTCTCTTTCTCATTCTTCTAAATTAGAAGATCAATTAAGATCCGAAGAGAATCAAATTGATTCCGATTCTCAGTCGATCCATGCTACATCTGTTTGTAATCAATCATCAAACTTGTCATCTTTCATAAATCCTGTATTAATAGAGTGCACTAATAGTCTTAATCATACTCTAATGTCTGACGAAGAGGCTGTAATTTCAACCGATTACGGCGTAGAGTATGTACCTGTCAAAAAATCTAAAAAATCTTCATTTACCACATCTTCATCTTCATCATCTTCAACCACAACACCATCAGGAACCACGACAACGACCACCAGCTTAAGAAAAGAGAACAATTCTCGTAATAATAACTCTAGTAGCATTAATTGTAATATTAGTAGTAGTTGTAACAATTGTAATGATAGTCTTGAGACTCTCTTTAATAGTGTCTATCCAGCACCAGGAACATATTATTTAACACCAGATAATTGTTACTTTGTCCCTCCTCCATTTGATCTTCATGGTCATCAAATAGAACCAATAGTATTCGAAAATGTTCCTAGACCATTTTCACCTTCCTTCACCAAAGAGTCAATACAAACAGCCCTTCCTCCCAATTGGTGTTGCTCAAAAGACAAACAAGGAAATGTATATTATTATAATAGAGTGACAAAAATGGTGCAATGGGATTTACCAGAAGTGAATTTAATTTTTGAGTCTGAAAAGCAAGCAACTCCAAAGAAAGTAGAAACTGATGTTGCCACCAGTAATACTTCACAAGATGAGACAATAGTACAACCAGAGCAATCAATGCTGGATAAATCAAATCAACAGCAACAGACACCAAGTGAAGTGCAGTCATCACAGGATCCATCTTCGATAGCTGACAAAACTGAAGCTTGTACAGATAAACCTGCAGTAACTAATAACCCTGAAACTACTACTACTACTTCAGAAAATGAAGTTCAAAATAGCAATGATGGGCCAACATTAGCACCGCAATCCTCAAGAGGGACAACACCTCAAGCATCTTCTGAAGAGCAAGTAGTCAACGGAGAATCCAAAACTCCTGATAATGTGACAGCCAACGAAGATTCCACCAGTGAATGTATGGGTACGCCAAGTCATACTTTACCGGGCTCCTATGAAGCTGATCCTAGGAAAAGACGTTCTTCAACCAATAGCACTGGAACTCATCATAACAGTACCATTAATAATAGTAACAATTCAATTGTAAGAAATTTTTCATCCCTCATGGAAATCAATGATGGCGACCTGATTGCATCCAATAGAAGAGACAGGAGTGACAAAAGTGAAAGACGGATCAAGGAAAAGTTTAAAGCCGAGATGTCTGAACACATTAAATACTGTCTAAATCCTTATAGAAAAATTGATTGTAGAGTTGGACGAATTTTGTGTAATGAAGATTTTAAATATGTTGCTCGACGAGTAAGTATATTCAACAATGTTGATACGAAAATGCCTTTATTTACCATTTCACTAATTTTTTGTCTTCTCTCTTTTTTACAGTTGACTCATTTTGTAATGCTTAAGGAGTTGCGGCACTGTCGAAACACCGAAGATTTATGTTGTAGTGAAACAGTTAAACATAAAGCAAAAGAGTATGTAAAAAAATACATGGCCAACAAGGGACCCATCTACAGGCCCGAATCAAATGAAGAGATTTGTAAGGATAAAGAAAAGTGTTCACCCAACTCATGAAAAAAAACAAAAAAAAATATCATTAAACCCATATAACAAATTAACGAAATGCAATGTTCAATGCTTGTCTAATTTTTCATTCAATTTGTATAAAGCATAAAGCAATATGAAAGACAAACTGAAACACCAAGTGACAAGTTTTTGTTTGAATGAACAAGGTTCCATTCGATTAATGAATTGCTAGCAAATATTAATTTAAACAAGGCAAACCTTAAGAAACGAGATTAACAAAGAAAGGAGAGAAAAAAGTAATATTCATTGGAAATGGCGTGCTAATTCAATACAGTCATTAATAATATATCATTTAAGATTAATTTGGAGTAATCTAATCTTATCCAGCGTCCTGTTGACTCTGAAGACCCTATTTTTTATCATTGTTTATAACAACCGGTTGAAATCAAACAAGATTGTGATGATTACATTGACTCATGAAGAAGAAGAAAAAAACAACTGAAGGCAATAATTTTCTAGTTAAGAAACAGCTTTCTCCTTTTAAACCGCTGATGCGAACTGTTTATGAAACATTGAAAATAATTGAATAACTTCTTATAAATATTATTACTCGTAGTCAGAAATGAAAGTTGAATGTATGAGTAAACTCGATTTTTCATGATGAACATGAACATACTATTATTTTATATATATTGTGCAAGCTGAACAACAACAACATGGAAAAATAGACAAACAACAGTAAAGACTATATCAATCTCCAGGGGAATTGTGACGTTCATCTAAGGAATCTGATGATTGGAAAAAAGATTCCCAGTGTTTGGTGAAAGAAATGATAATATATAGATAGACAAACTATTATTATAATGACACTCATTCTGTAATAATAATTGAATCAATCAACCATTTACAAAGTTGGGATCCCAATAAAAACAAGTAGAGTCAAACTGATGGCTAGAAGTTACGAAGGAAACTAAAGATGGACCCAACAAAAAAAGACCAAAAAAGATCAAGAAAAGGCTCGAAAGGCTGAAAATGAGAGGAAGGTAAAGAAAGCAAGAAAAGTAGAGTTGCAAGGAATAACATAAATAATATAAAAAGTCAGGTTACAAGTCAACAAATGTTTGTCAATGTGATAATCATTATTATCATAGTCTTGAAACTTTGGTCACCAATATAACCCTTATTACTCGATAAATTGTAATGGTTCAAAGATTTGGATCATTTTCATCAATACAACTTTTACTCAATCAAAACACAATTAGCAATCAACAAGGTAAACCAATCAGTTTCAGTCAATGAAACCTAATTTTAATTGTTGCCCCCAAAGTATCATTAGGTTTAACAACATTTTTCCTGTCCATCTTACCCAACAATTACTAATCATTGTTTATAGCTCTAAAAATTGAATCAATCAATAATTTAATTTAAAAGGGAAACAAAAATGAAAATGAAAACCAATAAAGACTTATAAATGTAATGATACAAAATTACAAAAGTGCGTTCAATTGGCTTATTGAAAGGAAATTTGTTTCATTCCCAGAAAAGTAATTATTTTTTGTTCATAATATCACAATATTTAGCAATAAAAATCACGTTTTTTACCTTTACCTTTTAAATGAAATTAAAAATTGCTATTTGTTGATGATGATGGGCAAGTCAAGAGAAACAAATGATGATGAAGAAAAAGGTGAATTAAATTGAGATGAAAAATGATCATTGATAAGTAATGTTATGTCAAATGGTAAATAAAATGCAATTGAACTGGTTAAGTGCTTTATTATTATATTATTATTTAGCTCATTGCCAATGTTATTCAGCATTCCACTGAGAGTTTCCATGTTTTTCTTGTTCCTCCATGTTATTAGCGCAAGCAAAAGCATCAAACAAAAACAACAACAACAACAGCAAGTAAATTGTTTACGAATTGATAACACAAAAGTACTTATGCCTTTTAATAATAATCTTTGCCAATAAAATTGTTCATCTTCTTTACAATATAATGCTCAAGACTTTCATTAATACCATTAATATGATCAAATTAAATTATTTATTTTCCAGCTTTAACATCTTACCAACACAATCATCATGACTGTCTTTATATTTCATCTTCATTTTCATCTTTATTTTCATAATCAACAAATATCAATTGAACCACTTCTTTTGTCTCAATGAAAGATTCACACATTTTTACCCTTCGATTGTCTGACTCTTGACTTAACCATTGATTGATGTAGCACTAAATTAATCATAATAAACAGGCAAAAATCATAAATCATTGGAAACCAATTTTTCCCTTTTCCATTAATTCCTCTATTACATTCAATGAATGTGACCTGTGGAAAAGATTACCTGCTAATAGACAAAAATAATTACTTGCGACCCAAAAATGGTGAAATTTGGGTGAAATTTGATTCTTTATTTTGCCTCTCTTTGGATTATAAAATTTTCATTTTTTGCCTTTTATTTTCAAATTATCCTTTGCTATTTCATCCGATTTTTCATCATATTTTTATGGCTTTATTTTCATATTGTTACTCAATGATAAAAGGTACAAAGATTGACCTCCATGCTTCCACATTATTGAACCATTTGAAGAGATAAATTTTCATTCTCATGTTCATTATGATTCAAGTTTGATATCATTTTTAGCCACATGATACACAAGGGTCATCATAATAGCTTTATCAACATTATCCTTTTGTTTTTGTCTCAATTTTTCCTCTTGTCCACCCAACAAATGTAATAGGAATCTGACCATAACTTTAAACCTATTTTTTTGGCTTTCCAATTCTTCTTTCAACTTTTACTCTTTTGTCATATTCCAATGTTTCCTTATTCAAGGCAATTTATTCACATATCAATCTTGATAAATAAATCATCCATTTCAAGTTTCATTATTATTAGCATTTAAACGACACAGAGAATGGTTACATTTGCGTTAAAAAAAGTGGTTAAACAAACAGTAAAATCACTGGATAACTTGAAATTGTAATGTGTTGTTATGGTATGAATAGTAAAGTAATTTTTCTCATTTTGTATCATATTAATGTATCATATTTGGACAAAAAATACAATTCAAGTTGAAAGCATTTTCTCCAAAATTAGACAAATTGGATTGTAAAAAAAGGTTCACGTCTTGTCACAGATGAATTTAGATGACTGAAAGACTCGTCTAAGTGTTAAAATTCATATCCAATTGTCATGATATTTTACCAAAAAATCATCAGTTTTCTGAAAGTTTTCAGGCAATCTGTTGCACAAAACAGACAAACGTGAAAATTTGATTTGGTCAACCTTGATTTGGTTGGTAAAAGAATCAATCATTTTAGGTTTACTTTGGTTACAAGATTGACTTGACTTCAAAGAAGATATATTTTACAATTTATTGAAGCTTTTTTAGAGATTGGGTAAAAATCTGAATATTTTGAGACATTACTTGATGTAGTTCCTTTGTGCGTTGTAACACGTTATCTGAACAGATTGAAACTGAAACTTAGGTACAGATTTGGGTTTTTGAATTTTACTTTGAAAGAAAAATGAATGAAAAGAATAGCGAAAATATCATGTTTACAGTTGAAATGGAGTTACTCGAGTTTCCATTAGATTATTATTGATTTGTAATGTAATCAAGTTTCATTTTTAACCTTCCCAGTCTGGGAAAGTTGACTTGAGTTTAAATCATCATCAGATAATCAATTGAATGATTAATGGAAAGGTTTAAGGTTGATTGAAATTGTAAAGCTGGTAAAGCTTTTCAAGTTGAATTAGTAAATAATTTACTTTAATATTTGGTTGAACAATAAAGTACTTCAATTTGTAAGTTTTGATCCCAGTATTTATTAATAAAATAAAGCAAAAGCATATTAACATTTATCATTTAATTTGGTAAATACAAGTAGAAATGAAATGAAAAATAAAAGAGTCAAAGATTATGTCGATTGTTTAATAGGCTTGTTCAACTTTTGGGTTCAACAAGAAGGAGGAAAAAGGACAAAAATAAAAGGCATTATTGGCTTGAAATTGATAATTGTTGTCGAGATATTTTTGGACAACAATTCATTTCATAGGAAACGATCAAAACATTGATCAACTTTAAATTTTCACTCAAATATTTTTGTCAATTGAATTGCGAATAAATGCTCGAAAATAATTTCTTTTCGTTAATCGAGTTTAAATGATTCTTATAGAAGTGACAAGTCATGTCTACCTGGATATGCCATGTATTAGTATGTATATAAATTAGTGAAACGTCAGTGAACATCAATTGATTGTTGAGATGCATTAGTTTATATGTATTTATTATCTCATTTATGTACTCATTTTACTGATAATTGAACGAAACAGACAATAAAACTAAGAGTCTCTCCTCATTGCCTTTATTATGTATCACACCATCTTCATCATCGTCAAGAGTAAAAACAATAAAGCTTGAGATATTGAAGGTGAAATGAGCATATAAAAGTGCATCAGCCAAAGCAAAATGGCAAATAAAAGGGAAAGGATTAAAGTGGTTCAACATCTGAATTCAATGTGAATATCAGAATGTCTCCATGTAAAGCCTTTACTTTCCAAGTTGGAAGACAATTTGATAAAGTAAAAGTAGATTTGCTCATTTGAGCAACTTAACGATTTTTCAATCTTTTTGTAAACTTAGCAATTTAGGCACATTTTGTAACCAACTAGTCAATTATAATCCAGAAAACTTGAACAAAATTTTCAAAATATTTTCTAAAAAATCAAAGTCAACCACAATTGAATAAACAGGCACGATCAACGGTTGAGATGAAGATCGTTGACTGAAAGATTGATTGGTGAAAGAAATTTTCACAAATATTCCAAAGTATTTTATTCTTAATATTTGATCTTTTGCCATTTTCATCTTATATTATAGCAGCGTTTTCAAGATTTGAAAAGGTTCGGAATAGTTGTTTTCAGTCGCTTTAGCGAAAGATCTTGAAGTAACCAAAGTAATGACAAGCGAATGAAAAGCTTCACATTGACTGTTCAATATTGTGAATATTTTCACTGATGTATTTTCCGGTGGAAACAGATTTATCAAGTTCTCAACTGATAATTGCGTTTCCAGAAAATGGCTGACAATTATAAGTGAATGTTCTTGAAAATTGGAGACACTTCAATCATGACACAATATGAAATCTCCGAGCTTGCTGACCGAGGTGCGAAATCAGCGTAATAATTGGACTGCTTTGTAAATATGGTTTCAATTAAAGATCCATTTGATATTATGTCAACATGGATTATGATGGAAATGTTTTTCACTGTGTCCAGCTCTCACCGAGTCTTTCATGTTCCAAGTTCATTAAATTATTGAATTTTTGGTTCCCATTTGGATCATCAAAATGGACCATTGAAATGACCAGCAATAGCAACAGATAAAGAGACTTGCTACAAGAGAAGAAACAGTTTTTACGAAAAAAAGAAAAGGAAAAGTGATTATTTTTTTTCTTGAGAGATTTAAATTGAAACTGAAAAATAAAGTTGAGGTAAAAGGTATTACATGTAAGATGCTATTTATCTGACTGTATTTAATACACTGTGACAAACCACATGGTTAACATTGTTCATTGTGACCCCACATGGAATTCAATTTGATGGTTATAACTCTTGCAAGTTGTTTATTTGCTTTCTTACACTATTATTGTCATGATAGTCATCCTTTACATGTAATAGTTGATTGCTGTTATAAGATGTTCAAATTGAACAAGAATAATGATTCATAGAGAAGACGAGAAAGAATTGTTAAGAAGAAGAAGAAAAAACAAGTTTAAATCACAAGAATAACTGGCAAGATGAAAGATGAAGATAAAAGTGAAGATGAGAAAAGATTAGTTTCCATTCTTGTTAAGGTAAAGGAGAAGCCATTAAAACAAAATGTTAGTGTTGATTTTACAGTTTGTTTTTTGGGTTGCAAAGAGTTGTAAAGGTTTCCAATGTAAAAATTGTTGGTTGGAAAAAGAAACGTTCAATTGTTTCCCTTTTCAACTTTTCATGTTTAATCAGGAAAAAATGAACTCGACTCGAGTCGAGATAGTTACCAATGGAACCAATGGTTAAAGATTTTTTCAAAAAAAATTCTTCTTTGGCAACATTTTTGCCGATCAAATTCAAAGTTTGTCTGGTTTTCACTGAAACCATTGTTTCAAACAGAATCAGTGGAAAGTGACATTAATTCACCTTCTTCTCAATCTTGTAAATGATTGATGAAGAGTGATTAACTTTTTGTTTAAGGAAAAATTTCAATTCCTTTAAGGCTCATGATATTTCTGGCTAACAATTCACCACAAACTTGATTTACACACTTTGTGATGGTTGACTTTTCTTGCTTTAAAAGACCTTTTCTTTGGCTTCGCCAAGGCAACATTTTCAACATTTTTTTCCCTTCGATTAAATATAAATCAAAAATTAATCGTCAACTTTTCAAGTAGATATTTCATTACATGGTAAAACTATTTCCATTGTGATTCTTGTCATGAGGAAAGCAACATGAAAAGAAGTTTATCTTCAAAATTTGTTAACTGTTACTTGAGCTTTTCTTTGTTCAAAACACATTGTTTTGTCCTTTTTTCTTCATCTTATTGTGAAGATGATTTTTCTTGTGAAATCTGTATTTTCTGTTAAAATTTTTGATCAATTTTCAATTTAATTTTGATTAATTCATAATAAATAGAGATGAAAAGGATGGTTAAAAGGCGCAGAATCTTTTGCCTGAATGGATGACTGAGTTGAGTTGAACTGGGAGTGAGAAGTTGGGAGTGAAAAAAGAGTTATCCTTTCAAAGTCAAACTTTTTTTCGCTCTTCTTCTTTTTCTTGTTTCACTTCTTTGTTGATCATCATCAACACACAAACACAGTTAACTAAATCATTCTCATGTCTTTAGCAGAAGTTTTTCAACTCTAACCAACAATTTCTCATAAAAAGTGACTCTTTTTTTTACTCTTGCAATCATGATTTGACCAGAAGGTTGAGAAAGGACGAAAGAGTGAAAGAGAGAAAACATTTTCTTTCCTTTTCATCATTCACCAACTTATCATTTTACTACCTTTAGATACTGAATTTCTTTCTCATCGTCAAAGTCATCTTCTCTTCTTCTCTTTCTCTTCCACTTTCCCTTTTTCCCTCTGTAAAGTTATACTCAGCTCATGTCAAGAATCCAAGAAGTTATTTCAGTTGACATTGATCAAGCTAAAACAAACACCTAAACTTTGAAACAGAAGCAAAGAGAGAGAGAACAAGAAAAAAAAGACGAAAAGGAAAATCAAGACTGATTTTCCATGAAAATAACTAGAAAAGAAGAAGAAGACGAAAAAGAAAAGGAATGAAAATGAAGAGAATGTGATATTTTCCCTTGCTTTTACCCTTAAATCTCTTTATTTTTGTCCCTCTTTCCGTGATAGAAAAAAAACCTTCCAAAAAACTTGAAAAATTTTTCATTTCCATTCAACTTTCATAGGATTGCAAGTCTAGAGTTTCAATATAAATAGAGAAAAAGAAAAAAAGAAAATCGTTTTTCCAGTGAATTTGCTTGCCCATCATCTTAACTCTCTTTTACAATAATTCAGAAATGAAAAGTTAATTATTGTAATTGTTACCTGGAACGAGAAGGAGAAAAAAACATTACAAGATGGAATAACAAGAGAAGAAAAGATGTAATTCATTGAAAAACTTTTCGTTTCCTCCCTGTTAACCAGAATAACAGTCTTTTCCTTCAATTATTAAAGTAAGAAGAGAGGATATTCAATCATCATTACCATCACTTTCATCTTTATCTTCACCTTTGTTACACCAGTTTATTTCAAGAGCGTAAAGTTGATGTTAGGTAAACTTGGATAAATGAATTTACCAGTGAAAAGTTATGTACACCAACGTTGATCCAACAAGTGACTTATCATCATCACCATCACCAACAACAATATCATATCCAGTGTCAACCTCATTTCACTCATCATTACTGTTTAATCCAAATGTGTCAACAGAAGTGCGCCTTCATCAATCTTCATCAGCCTCATTTATATCACCATCATCATCATTCTCATCATCACCATTTACCATTGCCATCTCCTCGGCTCTTGGAGTGCTCATCTTTTGTACCATCTTGGGAAACATTTTTGTCATCTATGCCATCCTTTTTGATCGCATCTTGCGCCGAGTGGGCAACTATCTTGTCCTCTCCCTGGCCATTGCAGACTTTATGGTTGCTTGTACAGTGATGCCCATCAGTGCTTTTTACGAGGTAACCGGTGAATGGACTTTTGGCTCGTTTCTCTGTGAAATTTGGATCTCGGCCGATGTCCTTTGTTGCACTGCCTCTATCCTTCATCTTCTTGCCATCGCCTTGGACCGTTACTGGGCAGTAACCCGAGTAAATCACATCAAGGAACGAGACCTTTCCCTGGTTGGTAAAATGATTACCGCTGTTTGGACAGTTTCCCTTCTAGTCTCGTTAGCACCAGTCTTGGGCTGGAAAGATCCACACTTTTTAAAGCGTCTAGAGGAGGAAAAGACTTGCCTCATATCACAAGACATTGCATATCAAATTTTTGCCACCGTTTCAAGTTTCTATGCTCCTTTGGTAGTCATTTTATTTCTTTACTGGAAAATCTATAAGGTAAAGATTGACATTTTTCGTTTAATGATAACATCAATAATTATATCAACATCCATCATTTTCAATTCAAACAGCAATCATAAATATAATTCAATCTGTTTTTTTTGCCTTCTCTCTGATATTCCCTTTGAACTTACCTTTTACTGCATCTCAAGTAGCTTCTTCATTTGCTACTTTCTTTCAATCATTTTTTTTCTGTACTTCTTCACGTTTCCATCCAAAGAATACCAATTATAACAAATTAATAGTTACAGCTTTCAGCTTATTCATGGTCATAATGAAATCATTTGAAACATGGTGTCATTTCCTTGTCTAAACCTTTCCACAAGCCTGTGAAGAGAAAGAAAAAATGAGCTCAAATTTGCATCAAAAATTTTACCATTAACATTCAAAACAGGAATAAATTGTGTTATGTTGTTGATGAAATTACAATTGCAATCAGCAAAAGAAAATTGAAAGGCTATATCATTCTGTAGATGATTAATTATTGTCATTACAATTTTTTTTCTCTCTCTCGCTCTCTCTCTGTCCTTCTAATATCACAAATTAATGAAAGGTAGGAATGAGAAAGAATGAATAATGTCTAATTATTAAAGGTAAATTATCATCTCTACAATAATTAGTGGGAAAAGGGAAAGTAAAGCCAAACTTTTTTTAACCTTAAACGCAAACAATGTATTCACTGGTATAAAAAAAGTCTATACAAAAGGTTATATTGAAAATTGTTTACTATCAAAGAATCAATGGATTTGGTAATAATGATGATAATGATGATAATGAGAGTAGAAAGAAATTCATCTTAAAGGTAAATTAAGCAGCAAGGGAAATTGAGATTCTCAATTGATAGACTTCAAGTTGAGATATAAGTCGTTTTGAGCTTCTTTTGATTTTACTTGTTGATGATGAAAAACAAGCAAAAAACAGTCAATTTTAGCCAAATTAATTGAACTTAGTTAAGGTAATTGCTTTGAATAATCTTCTTCCCTTGCCAATGTAGGAGTATTAGGATAACTGTTTTACTTGGGATTTAGCGTCATTATCATTCTCGTTTTCCTATTCGCTTCCATCATAAGTATCATTCTTGAAATTATTTTTTCTTCTCTTCTTTCCTACTCTTTTTTTTGTTGCAAGATTTACCTTTATCTCCTTTTACCTTGCATCATTTCTCATCTTGCAATTGCTTTTGGTTGACATTAAATGCTATTTAGGGATGCAGTTTGATGTAAGGTTTATGCGAATACAATGTTGCGATTCATTGCTAATATCAATCAATTTTCAGCTTGGCTTTGCTTGGTTCCTTTCCTTGGCTAGTTCCAGTTGGCACCTTTTACTTGGTCATTTCATCTTTCGTTGAATACAGATGACTGGTTTATAATTTAATTCAATTAACAGGGTTTGTTAAATGGTGATAAACAAGCTAGAAATGGATAAATAAATAAATAAATGTGATTACTTTGAATTCAGAGGATCAAACTGATTGTTGATTGCGTGACTAAAATATACTAAATAGTAAATTATAAATATTAAAATCCTTCTCTTTTGCTGGTTGGACCTTTTTTTCAACAAATAAACTGGCAATGAAACAGCATCCTCATGATATTACTGATGATATGTTTATTATTTATGGCAGCTACTTTCTGCTTGCAGATTGCATGTTGATGTTAACATTAATTGGACTGGTGATGAGAGCCAAGTGTCATGTCGCCTTGAAAAAGTGTCCAACCAAAATTAGCCAACAAAATGAATGTAGGAACGCTTGTTTAGCCTGAAAAGCTATTTACCATTTAAAATCAGTAAAGTGGTGGTTAGAAGAATGGTGTCAGTCTTGGATCGCTTGATAAATAAATCAATTGAAATTAAACTTTTGTCATGTCTAAGCAAAATCATTTAGTAACATTAAACAACCTCTGAATACATCCGATCCTCATAAATCTTGATGACTAAATTGAATTTAACTAGAAGTTGACTTTATCCCGTTTATGGTAATTTCACAATGAATTTAAATCAAACTGTTTGATCAGGTTAACAGAAAGGACAAGGTTCGGTGGATTCTAAATTATCCGGAAATGTGTTGTTGAGAAAAATATGAGGGACGAACAGGCAATTTCATGATAATGTTTTCCCATTAAACTGTGATCAACAAATGGAACTCTTATTAGCTTTTCAAGAAACCATCAACAGCATACGTTAGCTTAAACAGCATTAGTCCGTTAGCCGTAATTTGTATCAACAATTCCATCTTTATAACGAGAAAAATATCAAAAGTCAAACTGGCCAAAATTTCGTGAGTGGGACTTAATAGATAACTGACGACAATTATATTTATTAGACAAATAATAGCTCACACCATCCAGTTAACCTGTTGAAACGAAAAGCGCTTTTAACCTCGACATCCTTTACTCGACTCTTGCTTTCGCTTATAGGTAAAATGTCCCTTCAACATCTCAATCTTGAGTTTGACCATCATGTATTAGACACGAAAGAAAAAAAATCAAACTATTTAATACACTGAATAAACACTGAACATAAAAGACACTTCAAGACAAATTAAAAAATAACGGTTGAATAAATACATTTTCAAATTGAAAGAGGGAATCTTAAAATGTAGGCGTATAAAATGAAGAGCAACAAAAGGGCGCCACATTTAACTGTATTAATGAAAATTTAATTTTAATTAAACTTGACCATCAACAAGTTGTATTGATAAAAAAGGTTACTTTCAAACATTTCTAAGCATCCGAAGTAACAAATGAAAAGAGATTAACTAATAACTGTTGATGATGACAATGCTGTTGAGGGTTTAAAGGTGATATTGTCAATAATGGTCAGACTTCCTCCTTTCCTTTGTACTATTTGACCAGTTATTTGTTGAGATTAAATGATGAAAGGTTAAGTAACAATAGCCATTGAATTGGGCGATTAAAAATCAATTCCGTATGCTGAGTCTGCAATTTCAGATAAGGTGTTAACATTAGGTTAAAACTGGTTAAATTGGTGTAAACACAACGAATCTCAATGTAATCTTACAATTTAAACAATAATGAACAATTAGTTGAACATTATTAATGGCGCGTAAAAACAACAACAATACAATATTATTAGCCTAGTAAATGGTGTCATTTAATTTGCTATATTTTTGACAAAATAAACACTGATTAACATTAATAGGAAACCTTGATTTTCGTTGTGTTTACCTTCATCATTTGCCTTAACCTTTTTATTCCTATTAACTTCATTGTAAGACATTTTACTCTACCTTTAACTAATTAATTATTAGGTGAACATCTTCAGGGTAAATACATCTGTCGTCTTTGCATGTTGATGATGGAAATGATGACAAACATTTGAACAGCTAAACAATTATCATCACACACTCAACTCTGGTTACAACCAGGAGACAAAAATAAAAAGCCAAACAATTTTGACTATTTTGCCTCAATATTACACTAAATATGAATATTGAACATTTTCATTTCAATCCTTTAAGTTTACCTCTCATGTCTGGAAGCACCAATAAGGTGATGTTAAAAAAAACGGTTATAACGAGAAAAAAAGAGCAAATATTTAGTTTTTGAGTCAATTTATGCACTGATTGCTGAAAGCCTTTAAATTGCTTTAAATTTTATTACATTTAATCAAAAGGCAACAACTTTAATGAAAAGCAAGTAAACAGGAACAAAAAGTTGAAACCTTTATTAACAAAATGATTAACATGATAAATAATGAATGAAAGATGAAAAGACGATGAAAAGATGGTTAAAGTAAACCTTGATATTGAACGTAAAAAAGTAGCTTAAAGGTGTCTTCACTTGATGCGGTGAGAGTCACTCTCCTAGGTTGAATGACTGGTTGACTTTGGACATTTACTGTGGCGAATGATAACATTTGAGGAAAATGATGAACTTTGTTTTTCCTTTGCTTTTAACCTTGTGTTGCCTTGGATACTTGATTCTGATTGTGATGAGTTTGGATGATGAACAAAGTCAATAACCATGAGTTAACAAATTAACAGTAAATCAAATCAAATTGAATTTTAAAAGTAACTCTCAACATTTATTACTAAATAGACAGAACAAGATCAGGGAAACCAAGGAAATAATGATAAATAAATCACTTTTCAATTCCTTTATCTTTCATCTTCTTCTTTTTCTTTCAAATCTTCTTTTCATCCTCATCCATGTCTATTTCAAAGAAGGAGAAGATTGAAAAAGGTAAAAAGGTGTCTCTGTTTAAGTAAAAAAAGGTTCACTGGTTTTGTAAGTTTACTTCAATTTTCACCATTAAAAGAGTTGAATTTGTTGTAAAATTATTCTGATAAACTTTTACTCCTTAACATGATAATAAATAATATATTTTATCGATCAACTCTGTTTGCTAAACACTTGATTGAATCAACTGTAATGATAAAGAGTAAAATGGTTGGACAGAAAAGAGAGAGAAGAAGAAGAAGAAAAAAAATAAGTGATTGACACAATTTTCTGCCTCATGAATAACCTTTGTTATCGTCTTCAATGCATTTCAACCTTTTACCTTTTCCCTGTCTGAGTCAAGATAGGAAATTCAGATGAACCATTAGCCATGTGGAAAGGAAAAATGGTAAAGTAACTGCTCTAATCTGCATACCTTGCGAACAAAGAATGAGGTCAGAAACGTTGATTCAATGTTTATCATATCAATGTCTTTAATTAAAGGGCAACAGATAATTGAGATGAATTTCAAGCGATTCACACGAAATTGAAACCCTAATTTGTTAACTTAAGTGAACAAACATAATTATTCATTGTTGACTGTTCAACACTAAACAGTTTCTGTTTACACTCAGTCCAATTGTTGGATCATTTCACTGAAAAGATTAACAGATAACAGGTAAAATAAGCTTAAAAAATAGGAAAAGAAAGCGAAACTTGAATTGCAAATTTTTTGGAAATTTCTGGATTTCCATCTTCAGTTCAGTAAAACGAAAGTTGCAAATTTATCCCCTTTTGGAACGAAAGAATCTTTCATTTTTGCACTTTTTTCTTCAACCATTTCAATGAAAATTGATAGAACACATTTTGTTGAACAAGAAATGCTCAGAATTGTACAGAAAATTACTGTCATAATGTCTGAATAACGCGTTTAGAAGTTGAAATTGATCTATTTCCAGGGAGTTTTTAATATTAGCAAAAAGCTGCTTCCAAAGGATTTGAAGTTTGGATGAGAAGCTGGTAAAGGGCGATTGTTTGCATTTTGATTTGCAAAACAATAATATAATACAATTTAGAAGTACTCAAGCGTATTCTCATCATGTGCTTGTTTCATTTGAATGTTGAATTCATAAAAATTCATCCTCTGGCGTTGCATGATTTGTCAACATGAAAATGACTTTGGAATTGTTCATTTTCCAAAAGATTAAAAAAATTGACTTTCTCACTTGAATGGGTTGTACAAATGCAAACATTTGAAAAAACTTTTGAAATACTTTGATAAATCCTGAAACTAAACAAAATAGATTCAGTTTCCATTTTTTCAACTTTCCATCCTCTTACCCAAAACTGACTTCAGAAAAAGATATTCTCATGAAAATTTCTATTCCATGAATATCTTCCATCGACCAATTGACCAATTCCACCCGAATTACCATCTACTTTGGACTGAAAATAAAGGAAATAAACAATAGAACGGAAGATAAATTTACTTTGCAAAACTTGATTTCAACGAATGAAATTAATCTCATGTTCCAATGAGGAAAATTTAATCAGAATTTCGTTCTTCCAACATTAAGAATAAGGAAGAAGGGAAAGTAAAGAAAGTATTGAAATAATCAGGGTTCTCATGAAAAGGATACGATGAGACAGTCTAAAGTTTCGGAATTTTTTCGCTGGAAAATAAATTCTAGATTCATGTTTACTTTAGTTGACAAGCCACTTTACCTGAAGGATGATGATGCTTTCATCTTAGCTGAACATCTCAAAGGAATGTAAGGGAAAACGACAACGAAAATGATGCATTGAATGAAACAATATTGAAGTACCAACGTAATAAGTGGAAGGCAGCAAAAAGAAGGCAAAGAAAAAGAAAATTTGGCAAAAAAAAAGTTTATCTAAGTTCATCTCATCAGGTTTCATTTTGTCACTTCTTTACCTTTCATTTGAGTAAACAGTAAAGTCTAAATCTTGAACAAATAACAGATTCAATCTTCATGATATCATCAGCGATTCGAGTCAATTTTTTGCATCAAATTTACTTTTTCTCTTCTTTTTTAATGAAAAAAAATTGAACCAAAAAAAAGCATCAACAACAAAAATGGCTAAAAATGATGAGTTCAAGTTGATTGATTTTTTGTTTTCCTTTGACTTCAATTGTTAACAATTTGCAACAGTCAATGATAAAGGTAAACATTTAAAATTAGAAACAATTTTTGTTTATAAATTATTCAGTTGAAAATCAGAAAGTCGAGTTGAATCACACAATTCAATTGTGAGCAGAATTTTTGATTCTAAACGAAAAAATTGTTTTCTCAAACTCAATTTTCCTTTCAACCGTTTCTTTTCACTTTTCAATTCAATTGGCTATTCAATTGATCATCTTCAAGTAGACACTTGCACTGACCAAATTGACTTTGTAAAATGAGGAGAAAACACTTTTGAAAATTGGGCCAAAATTGCATTTACTATTCATTGATTTTTCATTTCATTTAATTTACCAAAACCATTATTTGAGTTGAATGTTTCAAAAGTTGAATTAAACTGTAAACTTGATTAAACCTTTCAAACGATTCATGTTTACAGCAAATAATCTGTAAATCAATCTTATTTATAAATTTCATTTCCAAATGAAACATTGCTTATTATTGGTTGAGATGAAGATTACATTGAATTTGAATGAGGAAAATGAAGAGACTGACAAACAAAATTGTAAACAAGTTTCATCTGATAGAAGATGCAACAAAATGGAGAAAACAGAAAAAGAGTAAAATTAAGGGAAAATCCATTGAATTTTGAATCAAAGATATTCTTTATTCGTTGCCTTCCCTTGGCTGGGATTTTCTCATATTCAACTGATTCCATGAGAGTTACAAAAGCTTTTCCTGATTCACTTGGAAGAAGGAGAAAAGTAAAACTTTTTTTCTTCTTCTTCTTCATTCCACAGTTGCTTCAATAGACATTTGTTGTTGCATTTTGTATTCACTATCATTTTGCTTCTCTGTTTCGTCTCTTATCATCATCTTTACATCGTTCAGCACCACTTTAGACTTTGCTTTGCATTTTGTTTCCATCTTTAACTTTCAACTTTTAACCCAAACAGTTTCTCCCTATCAACAGGATATCCGAATGGTAAACTTGAGATGAAGAAAGTAGAGAAACTATCTGGTAAAATGATCTACTTCCATCAGGGAAAATCATTTCCATCATGTTCATCATTATTATAATTATTGCAATTTCTCACCATTTTGCACCCTTTTCTCGAGAAGAACAGCTGAAAAGGTTGAAATTTTTTTAATTATCATAATGTTCTTGGTTCATCAAAATGATTCAAAGTGATAGACATCTTTTCCAATGTTTTTTTCTTCAAGAGACAAAGAATCCATTTTTTCCACATTTCATAACATTATAACATTATAACTTTATTGAGAAAAAGTGAAACCAGAAATTTTCCATCAACATTTCATTATATTCTTATCTTTCCAATCCTGGTTCAATGTTCAGTTCTGTCTTTATCAATTTTCCACTTTCACTCTGTTCTGCCATTGAAAACAAACTTGCTTAATTATCCACAAATTGCATTAGAAATGGTGAAAAAAGTAAAAGTTAAATTGATTCAATTTTGAAAAGCTAAAAGTCTAATGTAAATATGATGTTGCCAATTGCAGTAAAATGTTAATTATTAAACTTTTTGAACAATGTTTAGACCGTGGAACAGGTAAGGTTGATTTGGAAAGGTTGACTTGCCTCATTAAGTGTTGACTTTGGATAAAAAGGCTGAAAACGAAGAAGAAGAAGAAAAAAAAAGTCAACTTCTTCCTACACAGACATTGAAATGTACAAGAGGTATAATGAGTAAAACATGAAATGTGATGATGATAATGACGGATAGAGAAAAGAAGAAAAGTAAGAAGAAGAAAAGGAAAAGATCAATTAACCAGCTTCGAATAGAGTTTATGTATATCAGGACAATTCACTCCCTGTCAACCTTTATAAATGGTTTATTTGCTTTTCCAAGTTGATGATGGAAAAGAGGGAAAAAAGTCAAATTAAAGGTAAATTGAGAGCATTTGATGATTGGATCATGAAACGTATCTGTTGAGATGAAACTTATGGCTAAATCTTTGCTCATTTTTTCCCCATTCTTTTGCTTCTCTCATTCCCTTTCTCATGATGGACTTGCTGGGAGTTGATATGAACTGTGGATCAAATAAGCTGTTCAACAGTTGACATGATGTATTATTATATAAATGCTAACCTCTTCTCACTCTTTGTGTGCATCATTTGGTTGGGAAAACCTGTTGATTCAACCTTCCTTCTTCTTGAGTTTCCTCTTAACCAACTGATTCTTTTACCTGATAAAATGCTCTTAGTTGCATCAAAAGAAGTAAAATAACTTCTTTTTTTGTCAACCTTTTCTTCTTCTCACTCAATTGATTGTCATCTCATGTATGCATTTACAAAACTGATGGACGAGATAGACGGAAATTGTTGACTCGTAATGATATCTCAGAAGGAAAAGTGTAAAGAGTGAATAAGAATTGGAATATTGATGAATCTGAAAAACATTTTTTCATCACATTCTGATAATTACTTCAACTAATGCATTCCAAAAAGCAATTGCACAATATTTATAAGAACTTTTAATTTAATACTTTACTTGCTTTTTGATTGTTCAATTTTTTCCACCAAAAGACTCTAATTCTTTATGAATAATGTTTTTTTATCAACACAATTAGCAATTGATTAAAGTTGCTTCACTTAGTCAGCATTAACTGGGAGTGAAAACTCCAAGTTGCAATTATTT